CCTCATGCAGATCTCCAACTTTTAAGAGACTTATCTCCTACTTTAATGCATCAAGAGGCCGTTTCATTCAACTACTACTTTGTACAAAAATGCTTATTCTGGAAATAAGTAGTAACTTTCAAAAGGTGAAAATGGCTGAATAGTGGTTGCACTGGAAGAGCTTATCATTTCTGAAAAGGAAAGGCATACTTTTGAAAGTTTTATTGGTTTATGATTTGTGACTAAGTTACGGAATTTTGATGCCTATAATGGGAATTTTTTTTTTTTGGCTCCCTTGCTGATGAATATGAGGTTGCAAATAAATGATTCTACCACCAGTTTTTTTGCTTAAACAAGCAGATTGATTGGTAAAATAATTTTCACAATACGAGCTGCAGTATTTTACTGCCTACTCACAGTTTCCAGTCTGGTTCATCAGAACTAGAGTGCAAATGAATTGTGATCCAAACTGCCAATATCAGTTACCTGGCGACTTTGCAGCTACATATCTTATCATTACCATATACTTGTGCTTCCAATCAATATACCCATGCAGTAATACAAATAGCTGCCTCTATTGGAGATACCTTGTGGTGCTGAAGCATTTATAAAATTCTTATAATAAGAATTATGTAGTAATTAAGAACAATATTTGAATTAACTTAATAAAATTCTAATCTAATTAGAAATCCTATTCTAATCAATAAATAAAAGAAATTACATTCTAAACAAAAAATAAGAATAGAAAGATGAAACATATTAGAACTAGAAAAGGAAACTAGAAAGGATAAATCATAATTGTAATAGGAAATTACTAATCATGATTATCTACTAATCATAGTACCATGGTTGCCCCCAAAGTATATGACAATCGTCAATCTCTACCACGTTACATATAATCTCAACTCTTCACAGTTGTAGTGGAAAACTATTAATCATGATTATGTACTACATCACCTTGATTTATTTCTTTCTTTGTCAGGTTGAGGTGACAGATGCAGCCCTTCTTGCTTTGATTGAAAATTACTGCAGAGAAGCTGGGGTTCGGAATCTTCAAAAACAAATAGAGAAGATATACCGAAAGGTATTTCTGTAACTAGTGATTACTTTTCTTATTTTCAAGTGTTTCATGGTTTCATATGGTTCAATTCTGAATTCCTTCTCACTTGATTATCATGAATTTCTCCATTTGGGAACTGTTTGAATTTACTATCATTTCACCAATAATTCTGTTCTTCATTTGCTGGTCAGATTGCTCTACAACTTGTGCGAGGAGAAGCACATGTTGAACCTATGATTGCTGGGGTTCAGGTTCAACCTGATGAGGTGAAGGCAGAATCTGATCGCGTGCCCAATGAAACCATGGTTGAAGGAGTAGGAGCTGAATCAGTTGATGGCAGCATCAATGGAAAGGATTCTGAAACTGCTGCGGAAGCTGAAATAGTGGAGGTGGATTCCCCAGCCGATCAAATTTCATCCATTAATCAATCCAGTGCTCTGGAGGTATGTCGAAAAGTTTCTTTTATTTTGTTTGACAGTAATTCATCTAGATGTTATCATCCTCCCTCAACTTTTGAATAAGATAAAATCAGCTCCAAAACTTGTTGAACAACTATATAGGATAAAATATGTTTTCTTGGTAGTGTAATTAGCTTCTTTACTATCATTTAATATTCTTTTTTTATTTGGATCTCTGATGCCCTTTCTGATAAGGCACCATATTAATTCAAGGAGTGAGTTTATTTATTTATTATTTAATTTTTTGTGGATTCATCCTACTAGGACTCTTCTGAAGCTGAAAAGATTCAGGAAATTAAAGCAACCAGCACAGAAAAAAGGGTCTTGGTTGATACGTCTAATCTTGTCGATTTTGTTGGCAAGCCTGTTTTCCATGCCGAGCGCATATATGATCAAACACCAGTCGGAGTTGTAATGGGTCTTGCTTGGACTGCAATGGGTGGCTCTACGCTCTATGTAGAGACCTCTAACATTGAGCAAGGAGAAGGCAAGGGGGGGCTTAATCTTACAGGACAACTCGGAGACGTAATGAAGGAAAGCGCACAGATTGCTCACACCGTTGCCCGAGCCATATTGCTCGAGAAGGATCCAGACAACCCCTTCTTTACCAATTCAAAGCTTCATCTTCATGTTCCTGCAGGTGCCACCCCAAAGGACGGTCCAAGTGCTGGTTGCACTATGATAACGTCCTTGCTGTCTCTTGCCATGAATAAGCCTGTTAGGAAGGACCTTGCAATGACTGGAGAAGTCACACTAACTAGAAAAATTCTTCCAATTGGCGGGGTAAGTGAAAGCAAACTTAAATATCTCTCAGAATGTTGTTACTTTCGCATATTCTGCTATTATATTTATTTTTATGATCATTCATTCTTCATATTCCTCCTAAAATTAGTTCACTTGAAGTCATCCAAGATTTGCAAGCATTTTCCATAAATCTGTAGTACCTCTGGGCACTGGAAATATTTGATCGTTTAAGTTACTAGAGTTGTTGGTGATTGACTTAAGAAGTTACCATCATAAACTGTGCTTCATCATTCACTGCCTTGCGTTGAATCTCACAGAGATTCTCTTTTTGTAAATTCAGGTCAAGGAAAAGACTATCGCTGCAAGGCGGAGTGATGTGAAGACCATCATATTTCCTTCAGCTAACCGGAGAGATTTTGATGAGCTAGCACCGAATGTGAAGGAAGGCCTCGAGGTACATTTTGTAGATGATTACAGTCAAATATTTGATTTGGCTTTTAACTATAGCCAGGACACGGAATAAATACATTATTGCTGAGTGATTCTGCTACTCGGGTTATGCATCTGGAAGTCTTTTCAAGGCAGGAACATGGGTCGTTTCTTTAACTCCCATCTCTTCTGAACAATATTTTAACAGGGAATGTCACATCTTTACACTGTTAAGTTATGCGCGGACATGCCACCGTTAATTTATTCTTAGTTAGTTGTATCCTTGTTAGAAATAAATTTATCCTTTTTTTTTTGGCGGCTGCACTGTAGGGATAGATATATAATGGCATGTTGAGGTTTGTCTGTAGCTGTCTTTTACTGATGTGGAATTCTCTTTTCCTTTGTGCCTTACTGCCTTTTACTCATGATTGATAAAATTCAGGATCATCTTGTATCCAGTAGAATCAATTATTATTCTACAGAAATTCAGCTCTTTTTGAATTGCTTGCAATCTCTTGTATAGGACTACCCACTCTCCACGGCTCTTTTGAACCTTTATATTAATAATTCTTTTTTCTTTAGACACCTTAGTTGTTACTACACATCGTCTCCCAAGAGTCCATACTCGCACATATCTAAGATGCTGTTTGAGTTTCTTTTCGTTTTTTTTTTTTTTTGTAAAAAGTGGTTTTTTTACGAATTTTTTTATGGAAAAATGTGATTGAAAATGTATTTGGAGAGTGAGTTTTAAAGAATGATAGAACTATTTAGAGTGATTATGGTTTTGATTAGTTAATAATAATTGTTTATTTTTTAACTCTACCTCCATATAATGAAAAACAATTTAATGAACTTGATTTTCAAGTATTTCTCATTGTGATTTAGAACCTAAGAAATTCAGATGTTTTCTTTCAAAGCAAGTATATTGCGAATATATATATATATATATAGAATGTAGAAATTTTCATTTTCAAGAATTTGAAATAATTTCTATCTTTACACAATGCAGACGAGTATTTCAACATAGTACATATACCCTTTGCGAGTATAATCTATATTCTTATATTAAGAATAGATAGTTTAAACAAAATTATGAGCCTGTTTGGTATGGATTTTGATTTTCTACAGTAAATCAATTCTCATTCTCAACCATACATTCTTCAATAAAATAATATTTTCCATCACATCAATAATTTTTTCTTCTTTTTCAATCACACATTTTCCATCACATCACTATTCAAAAATCAATTCTTCTCCCCAAAAATCCTTACCAAACAGGCTCTATATTTGTATGCTCGAATTATGATAATTCTTGCTTATTTGATAAGATCACTTTTAAAAGATAATTATTACATGTAATGGTTTCGTATTTTCAGGAATTTGTTTTTCTGTTAAATTAAAATATATAGTTTTCAATACAGATTTTCTTGTCGCAATTATCACCAATAAAATGTGGAGAAATGTTAGAAATTCATTTTTCAAGAATTTGAAAAATCTCAATCTTTACATGATGAAACGAGTCTGTTAGCATAGTCCATGCTTATTGTGGGTAGATTTTATGTATTTAAGAATAAAATATATAGAAAAATATATCATTGGGAGTGCTTTGATTAATCTTGCTTATCTCATCAGATCACGTGTCATATTTTAAATTCTAATTATCACCAGTTAAGGGTTGCATATATATATA